GCCTAGCGCGACGGCCGACAACCCTTGTGCCGGCCCCAGCTTCATGAGCGCCCAGGGGGAGGAACAGCAATCACCACCGCCAGGTACCCGCAGCCCCGCTCCAAGCCAGGCCCTGGTGAAGACGGCGCCCCTGCCTGCCTTGCAGCCGATGTGTGACAAGAACTCGAGGGGGAGGTGGAGGGGGAGGCAGGAGGAGGCGCAGGCGGAGGCGGCGGATTGCGGTGGCCACGCTTTCGGAGCAGTCCACAGCTCGAGTGTGGCCTCACAGCGGCCAGCGGCCCGCGCAGCGGCCGCCCCGAGCTGCGCCAGGCCAGCTGTGCTCTCTGCAGGGGAGTGGCCCTCGCCCAAATTCTATGAGACGCCGCTGGGAGCTGTTTCGCACCGTACCGCTCGGTGCAGCGGTGGACTGGCCCGCGTGCAGTGCCAGCCCGGTTTCAACAGCTCGCGCAAAACAGAAGAAGATGTCTAACACATCTTCCTTGGCGCTCATGGCCTCCAAGGCAGTCCCGAAGATGGGTGAGCTGCTAGGAGCCGTTGGTCATGCAAGCAGGGGGGAGTGCACTTCGTGGGTGCGAGTGCAACCGCTCGCTGCTCCAAGACCTGCCAACACTTCGTGCCACGCTGCTCAATGTCCAGTATCGCCCAGGGCAAGCCACGCACTCGTGTCTTTCTGAGCACTTTGCGGACTGCAAGCCTAGTAGCACTGGAGTACTTTTTCACCGGCTGCGCACGTGTACAGCTACGGATGCTAGTACATTCCGTCGGCTCCCGCCTTTTGCATATGTTTATAGTCGGCGAGGTTCCATCTGCCGTTCTCTCGCCTCTGGCCGCAGAGAGCATAGGTTGGTTTCCCCACGAGTCGGGCAGTTGCGAAAACAGTCTTAGTAACCTGATCATCGGCCGCTTCAGGTTGTCGATGTAGCGTCAGTCTCCGCAGCACGCAGCAATGGGAGTGAGTTTGCGCCTGCTAAGATTTATGCTGATCGGCTCCAGGCCGGGACATACGGCGCCCGCGCCAGTGCCGTTTCACCAGAGCCTGATGCCACGCGTCATCATCAAAGATATGGCCGGGCACGCGTATGGCTGCGGATGCTCGTGCGCACCGTTGGCATCCGTCTTTCGCATTTGACTAGTTGTCGAGGTTCCATCTTCCGTTCACTCGCCTGTGCGGCCGCAGTGGGCATTGGTTGATTCCCGACAAGTCGGGTGATCACGGTAACTTTCTGCCTCGAAAGCTCGTTTGAGGTTGTCGACACAGCATCAGCCTTCACAGCATCAGGAATGGGTTCATGCCCTTGCAGATGTCTTTTGCGCGGCGCCAGGCCAAGACATCCTGCGCCCACGCGAGCTTCCTTTTACTGGAGCCTGCCGCCACGCGTCATCATCAGAGAGATGGCCGGGCGTCTCCAGGCCCTCCCTGCCTACAGGCTCGGAGGCGCCCGCAGGAATGAGAAGCGCCGCGTGAGCGCGGGGATCTGCCCAGCGGGTTACAGCCAGACAAAAAGACGTGCTCGTCGTGCTCGTGGGATGTCCCTTTGTGCATCCTGGGGGAGGGTGCCCTCCAACAGTCTCGTGGCCTCGGGTATAGCTTGGCCGGCGGAGGGCCTCGTGCCCTTGGAGACGGCTGGCCGGCCCTGAGCCCGTCCGCCTTCCAGCGGCGCGCCGCCCCCAGGCAGGCACGAGCAGCTCTCGCCCACCCTCGGCTCGGCGGCGCGCACAGGGGGCAAGGTTCCGTTTGAGGGTCGAGGCTTTCGGGCTCTCTCGGCGGTTTCGGGGCGGGCTCTCGAGGGTTTCGGGCGCTCTGGGCGCTCTAGGTTACAGGTTTTCGGGCGCCGTTTCTCGGTGGTTTTCCAGCTTCGGGGTGCGCTCCAGCAGCTGCGCCTCGCCGAGGGCGTTCTGGGAGTGCCCAGTCGCCCCGAACGGCCACCGGGGAGCGGAGTTAGGACCGAAGAACTACCAGGCGCCCGAGAAGGAGCGGGCCTCCTCAGAAGGCTCGGACGTCCCCCGGTCTTTTGAGAAGTTTTCTGAGCTCTCCCCGGAGACGCAGAGGTCTCCTCAGGAGGCGCGAGCGCTGCTGAGAAGTGGCGCCGCCTCCTGAGAGGGCCTTCTCCTTCTCAGCTCCCCTCTCGCTCGCCGCCGATCGGCGGTGCCAGGCGTACACCTGCCCTCGGTTTCCTGTGCCCGTGGGGGTCCAGCCGCCCCAGGCAGACGCGGACCAGACCTCGCCTTCCCTCGGCGCCGTCAAGCGCACAGGCATCGCTGCTCTCCTGCGCACTCTGGAGGCCCAGCGGAGTGCGGTGGCTCGCAGCTCCCAGCTCGATCTCGCCCCCCCCCGGATGCTGCCACACGTGGAACTCCCGCCGCCGTCGTGAGGTTTCCAGGACGGCCCCAAAGGCTTCAAAAAGCCTCCAAAAACACTCCCAAGAAGGCCCCAAGTGGCAACAACCATTGATTTTCTGCGGGTTTTTGGTGAATTTTGGGGTTTCCTCTTTTCGGCTTCCCGACGCTCCAATACGGCAGCGTCCGAACCCGCCTGGGAGGCTCCAACATCGCCCACCACAACCATCCGAAAGGGCTTCCAGGCAGTCCAAGAGAGCCCCAAAACGGCACAACAGGGGTCAAAGATAGGCGGCTCAAGACGGCCCCAAGACACCCTCCGAAGCATTCCAAATCGTGACCCGGTCGTTCAGGGAGACCGCGGTTGGAGGCAGGGTGGCCCGAGGAAGCCCCCAGAACCTCCAGAACACGCCCAGGAGGTCTCCAGAAGGCCTTAAGAAAGCCTGAAACTTTTGTGAGGCTCCCAGAGGCTCTCCAAGGAGGAGCCTCCGCAAAAAGAGCTGAGGAGGATGGGGAGAATGCGCAGGGTATGGCGAGAATGAGGACAAATAAGCATGGAGGAAGGATAAACATTAACATTATTACAGCGGCGATGCCGGAAGAGGCAACAAGGAGTTATCAGTAAATTGTCGGCTTGACTTTTCTGCCATTCCACCTGCATACCAAACTTCAAGGACCAAGGTACATGGCGCGAAGCACCACTTCAGTCTTACATATATATGTGTATGTATGCATGTATGTATGTATGTATGTATGCATGCATGCATGCATGTATGTATGTAACTATGTATATACATGTATGCATGCATATAGGGATCATACATGCATTTTCATATATTCTTGTACATACATATACACATGTACATGTATATATATATATACATACACGTGCATGCGTGTATATTTCTATATATGTATATATATAGACAGTTTCACACGGATGGTACGTATCAGTGTACTTACACACGTTGACATATACATGTACTCAAGCATGGCGTATTTGTGTACATGTGTGTATATCAATGGATATAAAACTGTTTGTTCGGGGTCCTTGTGGATGACAGTCGCTGGCCGCCTTTTCTTTGTACGCCGGATCCACCGTCGCAGAGATTCTGCGTGGTGTGGTGGCAAAGGTTCCGTAGTTTCTCGCTGGGTTTTCGTTGGGGATGTGCAGACAGGGGTTGGTTCGGGGGACAGTTGGTCTTTTGCAGTCGGGGAGGATTCGTCATTGGCAGTCGGAATTTCGGGATGAGACACAGACTGTTTGTGATTATTGCGAAGGCCTTACGGCCGGTGCCGCCGAGCCTGAAGGGGGACGACGACGACGACGACGACGACGACGACGACGCTGACGTGGGCCAGAGTCCTCATAGATTATGTCGGGGTCTCTTCGGAGCGTTCTCGGAGGCCTCTGGGGGTCAGTTTTTGGGGCCCCTTGGGAGCATTTTGGAGGCCTCTTGGAAGCCTTTTGGGAGCCTCTTGGGGTTTCCTGGAGGCCTCTTGGGGGCCTCCTGGAGCCTCCTGGGAGCCTCTCGGGGCCGAGGGCTCGAAATGTCAGTTTGGTTCCCCTGTCTGGGCACTTGGAGGCCTCTTCGGCCGTCTTGCAGGCGTCTTGGGTCGTGTTCGGGCCCTCTTCGGCCCGTTTCGGGGCCCTCTTGGAGGCCTCTCGGGGCGATCGTTGGAGCCTCTTGGGTCGTTTTGGAGCGTCGGGAAGCTGAAAAGGGGAGAACGCCCAAATCTGTCAAATTAAAGGAAATCAGTGAATTTTGCGTCCTGGGGCCCCCTTGGGAGTGCTCTTCGAGGCCTCTCGGGGCGTCTTCCGGACTTCTGGGCCGCCTGGGGGCCGTAAAGATGTCGTGGACCGAGCGTTCGGCGATTCGGGGTCCTCTCGGACCGTCTTCGGGGCCTCCTGGGGCTCTCCTGGCCCGTCTTGGGCCTTTTCTGGGGCCTGGGCTCCCCCGGGGGGGGGGGGTGGTACTCTCACCCGGGCCCTCCCCAGGACCCCCCCCCTGGCGGGGAAGTGGCCAAAGGGTTGTGGAAGTCGATTAATGGAGAAGAAGCATGCTGCCAAATAATTTGCAGATGTCTAGGCAATGTTTCAAATATGGTTTCAATATGTAGAAACATGTTTGAAACATTTTTAGAACATGCTTTAACACATTTTCGACACATCTTTAGTTCAATGATAGGATTGTTAGAGTGTCTACTGTCATGGCATCCACAACCGAAGGGAGGGGGCCTCCCTTCGATTGAGTTGCGATTGCTCAATCTCGTTCTGGCTGGCGCGCTTAAGGAGGAGGGCCGAGGGAAAGGTGAGGGCGTCGACGGGCCCAGGGAAATGGAAGGAGCGGCGACGGCGACGGCGACGCCGACGGCGACGCCGACGCGAAGACGAGTCAAACGGAACAGCCTCTTCCACACGCCGACAGGGTCGGCGGATTTATTGCTGTCGCGGGAAGTTCTGTGATTGTTTTCCGTCGTTCTTCGCACCATGGCGGAACGCAGGGGAGGCGCTTTGCGCCTCGCGCGTGTCCAACGTGGTGGCGAAATCAATGTTTGCCATGCTCTGCCTTCTTCTCGTCCTCTCCTGCGTCCCTCTCTGCGCGACCGGCTCTGTTGTTGTCCACCGTCGGGCCTTTTGACTTTCCCCGTGCGCCGGTCAGCTCTCGTCAACTCCAACAAGCAGCTCCGCAGGGAGCTGAAGGCTCCAGCCGCGTGTGCGACGCCGCGCCCCCGCCTCCCGAACTCCTGAGGAGGAGGAGGAGGAGGAGGAGGAGGAGGAGGAGGAGGGGGAGGGGGGGAGGGGGGGGAGGAGGAGGAGGAGGAGGAGGAGACACGCCCCCCCCCCCCCGCTTACGTAGATGGTCCCCGCCCCGCAGGCGCACAGAAGGTAAGCGCACCACCACCCTGGGCAGCTCCAGCTCACTTTGTGCCACAGCGCTGTGTCGAACTGTATCGCTTCCCGTCCAGGCCTAGAGGCCACGTGCGCCAGGTTTGGGCCCAAGGTAGGCCTGAGCTGGCCTGTCTGTGCTTTATACATGTCTGTCTATATATATGTATGTGTGTCTGTCTGTCTGTCTGTCTGCCTGCCTGTTTGCCTGCCTGCCTGCCTGCCTGCCTGCATGTATGTATGTATGTCTGTGTGTATGTATGTCTCTGTGTATGTATGTACGTACTTACGTACGTACGTACGTGTGCATGCATGTATGTATATATGCATGTATGCATGTATGTAGGTACGTACGTAGGTAGGTAGGTAGATAGGTATATGTGTATGTATGTATGCATGTATGTATGTATGCATGTATGCATGTATGTGTGTATGTATGCATGTATGTATATATGAGTGTATGCATGTATGTATGTATGCATGCATGTATGCATGCATGCATGTGTGTACGTATGTATGTATGCATGTATGCATGTATGTATGCATATATCTATGTATGTATGTATGTATGTATGCACGTATGCATGTATGTATGTATGTATGTATGTATGTATGTATGTATGTATGTAGGTACATAGGTAGGTCGGTAGACAAATATGTATGTACGTATGCATGCATGCATGTATGTATGTATGTATATATATGGATTTATGCACGCATGTATGTATGTATGTATATATATATATATATATATGTGTGTGTATGTGTGTATGTATGTATGTATGTATGTATGTATGTATGTATGCATGTACGTATGTTTGCATGTATGCATGTACGCATGTATGCATGTGTGCATGTGTGCATGTATGCATGTATGCATGTATGCATGTATGCATGTATGCATGTATGCATGTATGCATGTATGCATGTATGCATGTATGCATGTATGCATGTTTGCATGTTTGCATGTATGCATGTATACATGCATGTATGTATGTATGTATGCATGCATGTACATATTTTTTATATGTATGTATGTATGTATGTATGTATGTATGTATGTATGTATGTATGTATGTATGTATGTGTGTGTATGCATGCATGCATGCATGCATGCATGCATGCATGCATGCATGCATGTATGTATGTATGTATGTATGTATGTATGTGTGTGTGTGTGTGCGTGTATGTATGTAGTTATATATGTATGTATGCATGTGCGTATGCCTAATCATTATGCTTTGTCTTGGTGTGACCATTATCGGACGAGTGTCCAGGCCACTCTACCCGATACGCAGCGACTTACCCAAATTCACCGTCGGATTCCTTGCCTTCCGATCTCTTGCCCAGAAGCCGGGCCAGCAAATTCCCCATTCTTTCTCCCCTCCTCCTCTCTCTTCGCTGCCTGCCTCCTCTCTCTCCATCGTCCTCCGCCCTTCCCGCCCCCGCCCCCGAAGGAGCAGCGGCCCGCCAGCCCCTGGTCCAGGGAGGCGGTGGGCAGGGCTGCCTCGCCGAGAGCATCCCCTGCCCTCTGCCGCCCCCGGCCGCCCTCGGCCGCCTCCGGCTCCCCTGGCGTCGGCAGGCCTCTGAGAGACCGCCGCGCCAGCTGCCCTGTTCTGCCTGTGCCTCCCGGTGGCCGAGCCGCGGCCCCATCGGGAGCGTTGAGACGGGGGTCAATGCAAACGGGGGTCGGCCAGGTCACCAGATCCCGCAGGATCCTGCGAAGACCCCCTCTGGCTGACCCGGGTTAGCGAGCCGCTCGTGGCCGCGAGGCGGCCGCGCATATTGGCTGACCCGAGTTTGCAAAGATCTGCGTTGCATTTTTTTTTTTTGTTGTTCTGCATTGCAGTTTTTGGTTTCCTGCTGACCCGGGTCTGGATTGACCCGGGTCAGAAGATCCCCGGCCCCAGAGACCGCGATCCTGCGAGGGGGGCCCCAGGGCCCGCCTCTCCTGCCTCTGCGGCAGGTGCGTGCCGCGCCGGCGCGGCGGCGACGCCGACGCGTTGCCGGCGTTCGGCGTGGAGCGTCCTCCGGGGGCGCGCTGCGGGCCCCTAGGGTGCAAGAGCCCACAGGGCGATGTCCAGCAGGCCACAGCGGGTCGTGGAGCGGGGGGCCCGAAGCACCAGAAGGGGTACCGACCTTCGGGCACCCACCGTAGGGCACCGACCATCGGGCACCAACCACAGGGTACCATGAAGAGGCCATGAGCCACAGGGCACCAGAGCGCCAACGTCCGACAGTGGCCGAAAGAGCCAGTGCCATCTCACATAAGATATACGCTCAGTGCAAGAACTTCTTGGGCAGGTGTGATCCTTCAGGTGGTTCCCCATGTAGTTTCTAGCTTATTTAATTGTCGGTTTCTGGGGCCTCGCAGGAAGCCTCCTTGGTGTCCTTCTGGGGCTTCGTGAAGCACACAGGGAGCTTCGGCAGACCACAGGAGCACGGCAGACCAGCACGGCAGACCAGCACGTCTTTTTTTATATTGCTTTCGTAACACAGCGCAGCACGGCAGACCAGCACAACACATTACAGCAGCCCCGCAGATAACCATGCACGCACGCAGACGCACATACTCCACGCACGCAAACGGACGCGCAAACGCGTGCACCCCAAGACAGACCTGCGCAGCAGGCTAACGCAATGGAGTATACCTCACAAGCGCAGTGGACAAAACGACTTTTCTCAGTCTTGTCCAGTCAGGTTCCTGGTAAGTTTCCGTTTCGTTCGAGACGTCCTCACACAAACGGCTTTGAAGTGGGCTCCGAATCAACATCATCCTGGAACCGCTTTTGGAAGGGCTTACAGTTGCCCAAAAGGTCCCCTGGAGGACCCAAAGAGTGCCCCAGGAGGCCTCCAAGAGAGCCTCAGGAGGCCCCCAGATGGCCCAAGACAGTCCGACATGGCGTCAAGGCGCCTCAGAGAGCCCCCCTCTAACCCTACGACACGCCCAGACAGCCCAAGCAGACCCCAGTTGTCCCCAAGAGGACCCCGACAGCGCCCCAAGAGGCGCCCAGGATGCCCCAAGCTAGTCCCAGATGGCCCCAACAGCTCCCAGGGTAGCCTTTGAAGATCACGAGGGCCCCCTTTTTTCGACGTCCTTTTCCTCGAGCTCCTTTCCGTCCTCCTGCGTCGTCGTCGTCGTCCTCCTCCTCCTTCTCCTGCTCCTCCTCCGCTAGGTTCCTTCTCGTACTCGTCCTCCTCCATGTCATCCTCCTCGTCCTCGTGCTTGTCTTCCTACTTGTTGTCCGCATGCTCGCCTCCAGGAGGCCCCCAGACGGCCCGAGACGGCCCAAGATGGCGCCAAGACGGCCTGAGAGAGCCCCCACAGAACCCAAAGACACGCCTAGACAGCCCAAGCAGACCCCAGTTGTCCCCAAGGGGACCCCGACACGCCCCAAGAGGCCCCCAGGATGCACCGAGATAGCCCGGGACGGCCCCCAGTGTAATTAGCCTTTAAAGATCACGAGGATGCCCCCCTTCTTCGACGTTCTTTTCCTCGGGTTCCTTTCCGTCCTCCTTCGTCGTCGTCCTTCCTCTTCTCCTCCCCCTCCTCCTTCGCTTCGTTCCTCTCGTACTCGTCCTCCTCCATCTCTTCTTCCTCGTCCTCGTGCTTGTCTTCCTACTCGTTATCCTCCTGCTCCCCTCGCTGTCCTCCCCGTCATCCTCGCTGTTATTCTCGGCATCCGCCGCCTTGTCGTCGCCATCATCATTTTTTTCCTTTTCCCTTACGAGCCCAACGGAGAACATCAGCGCTTTCCCTTATGGTCCGATCCAGTTTCCGGAAACCACGCCAATACACATATATATATATATATATATATATATATATACTGTTACCGTACAGCTGGCTGGCACGAGGGTTCAGAACAACACTAGACTTGGAGGGACACCCTTACGCTCTTCGTGCTCGGGCGCTCCACTTCGGCACAGGGGCCTGTATTCTTGGCCCGCGTTCCTCTGACCAGGTTCCGACTATATATTGCTCAATGCAGGACCTTGCTGCAGATGAGTTGGCTTGAGACGAGGGTTTCGATCTCTTTCCTCTCTTTCGCGCTGCCGCTGGCCCTACAGGGCGCGTGAAAAGGGGTACTCTGCAATTCCAGCCATGACATCACTGTTAGCTCAGAGCGACCCCGGAGGCCTTCGCCTGTGCCTCGGGCCGTGTCCGCGCCTATACAACTGCTCAATCTCCAGGTCTAGGACGTGTCTATCGGGAGGTGTTCTACAGCGAGCGGCTTGAATAAGGAACACTTGCTTTTCAAAAGGGGCTCGGTCGTTCCTTAGGTTTGCATGCGGTTTATCGTTCTCTATGAGTCTTTTGATTTTATTGGGTTATCGTCACTTATGCGCTAGCCCTTGGAAACAGGGGGGTTCGCCCCTCATTTCTCGCTCCTTAGGTCGGCCGATGACTGCATCTCTGGGTCCCCGCACCCCGCAGGGCCTCGACCTGCAGCTGCACACGGCGCAGTCGCTGGCCGCCGCGGTGGACGCCTTCACCGCCAAAGGCCGCGCGCCGCGCTCGCGCCCGCGCCGCCGCCGCACCACCGCGGCCCGGACCGCTCGCGGGGCGGCGCGGCCGCTCGGCCCGCTGGGCCGACGCAGCGAGCGCAGACGAGGTGGTGTCCCGGGGCCGGCTGTCAAAAGGCTGGGCAAAGTAGGGGTCCACGTGCGCACCCTGCCCCTAACCCCCCCCACGATTTCCGAGGGGGAGGGTGGGGTTCACTTCGTTCGGGAGCTCCCGAGCGTAGTGAACCCCACCCTCCCCCTCAGAAGTCGTGGGGGGTAGGGGTAGGGTTCGCATGTGGCCCCCTATAACAGGCTGCACAAGCTTGTCCGTTCATGTCCTGAATCCAGATTTCCCAAGCGGTGCTTGCGTTTAGGGGCTCTCACTTGGCTTCCGAGGAGCCTGGCTCGTTTGTCGGGGCTTCAGCCTTGTTGCCGCCGTCGCCGCCTCGTCGCCCTTCTCGTCGCCGCTCGTCGTCTGGGCTCGTTTGTCAGATCTGCCGCCTTGTTGCCGCCGTCGCCGCCCGATCACCGCAAAAAATATGTTTGCACAACATAGGTTGCATCACATACCTGGTACAGCATATGTTGCACTACATATTTGCACCACGCATTTGGTACAACATATATTGCACAGCATAGACAGCTCCACATATATTGCGCTTCCTAAATCGCACCCCATATGTTGCACCACACCGATTGTACATCTCTTGCGCAACATATATCGCACAACGTATATTGCAACACAAATATGGCACAGCAGATGCTGCACATCATCGACTGCACAGCAGATATTTCACAACATAGATCGCACCACATCGATTGCATCGCGTATTCTTCACCCCATAGTTTGCACCACATATATGGCTACACGTATCAGCATACACACAACCATATATATATATACATACACATACACATATATATATATATATATATATAGGCCATTCATCTGTTGCACAGTCTATCGCACCACAAATCTTGCGCACCACATAGATTGCACCATATTTGCTGCATCACGTATATGGCGCACAACATCGATTGCATCAACTATGCTGTAGCACATCTATTGCACCAGATCTATGCCCGTCCGTCTGACGCCGTCGGAAGCTGTCTTGGATGCCTCTCTGAACCGACTTGGGGCTCTCTTCAGGCACTGCATGGCCGTCTTGGAGGCAATATTGGGCGTTTTGGAGGCCTCTTGGGCCGTTTTGGGGCCTTCTTGGGGCCGTCTCGGGGGCCTCTTGGGCCGTTCTGGGGCCATCTTGGATGCCTCTTGGGCCCTCTGGGGGCGATCTCTGAGGCTTCTTGGGCTGGCTTGGACCATCGGGTGGCCGAAAAGAAGCAAATGCCAAAATCCTTCAAACAGCCATGCATAATCAAGGATTTTGGCCTCTTCGGGTCCTCCTGGGACCTCTCGGAGGCCTCTTTGGCTCGCGTGAAGACCTCTCGGAGGACCTCTTCGGGCCTCTGGGAGGAGCTCAGCGAGGACCTCGTCGGGCCCTCCTGGAGGACCTCTTGGAGGCTACTCGGGCTCTCGTGAAGACCTCTCGGAGGACCGCTTCGAGGACTGCCCCAGGGCCCTCCTGGAGGACCTCTGGGAAGTGACTATCGCTGAGCGTGCGCTCGCACGCGGCGAAGTTTCACACGCACCTTGGGACGTCTCGGGCCTGCCTTGGGAAGAGAAAGGAGAAGGGCCGTCTGGGAGGCCTCTTTGGGGGCCTTTTGGGCCATCCTGGGCCGTCCCGGAGGCTTCTTGGGCGAACTCGGAGGCATCTTGTACTCCCTTGGGTCGTCCTGGAGGCCATCTTGGCCGCCTCGGAGGCCATCGTGGGCGAACCTGGCAGGCCCTCTCGGCCGTCCTGGAGGCCATCTTGGACCATCTTTGGCGCACTCGGAGGCCGCCTTGGCCGTCTTTAGGGGTCCACATGCGAACCCTACCCCTACCCCCCACGATTTCCGAGGGGGAGGGTGGGGTTCATTTCGTTCGGGAGCTCCCGAGTGAAGTGAACCCCACCCTCCCCCTCAGAAATCGTGGGGGGGTAGGGGTAGGGTTCGCATGTGGACCCCTATTCTTGGAGGCCATCGTGGGCCGTCCTGGAGCCACCGTGGAGCAGGGAACGCCCTGGCAGAGCCGCCTCTCGAGCAGCCTTCCCGAGTGCCCGACGCCCCAGGGGGGGAGCTCTCTCTCCTCCTCCTTCTCCTCCTCCTCCTCCCCCTCCTCCTCCTCCTCCTCCTCCTCCTCCTCCTCCTCCTCCTCCTCCTCCTCCCCCGCTCACGAGGTGTGGCCTGGCACTTGTTTTCATGGTGTCAGTGCCGAGCACCCTCGGGGCACAATGTACACGGCACTTAATTTGCAGGTTGGGCGGGGTGCAACCGGCCGATTTTTCTGGAATTGCGGGCTCTGGGGCTTGGGGTGGACGTTGCGAAACCTGTATCGACGGGTCTCCCGTCGTTGGGTGTAGCACGGCCCCAGTCTCAGCCTGGCCCTGCGGGGTGAAGGCGGGTAGCGGCGCCTGTGCGGTCAATTCATTGTGATCTGACCTTCAGGGATCGGCATTTCCTCGGGAGGCGGTGGCTTGTGCCACGTAAGTCCCAAGGGGTCTTGTGCCTACCCAGGGCTGGGGAGCCTGTGCTCCTCGGTATGCCGTGCCAGCTGTTCCGACTGGGATGCCTTTGGCTCCTAACGCACCATGTCGGAACCGATGGGCCGCGAGTCATCACAGGCGACGTGGTCACCCCCTGTGCCCTTCCTGCGCAGCTGTTGCTGCTCTCCGCGCGGTAGTTCGTTGGCTGGGCGTGTGCAATACACGGGCGGCCTTCGGAGACCGACCGTGGGCGCCGAACTCCTCCTCCCCCCCCCCCCTCCTCCTCCCCCCCCCCTCTCCCTCCCTCCTCAGGAGAAGGAGGATGAGGGGAGGTGTCCAGCACGCCGGGCACTCCTGTGGCAAGACCTCGGGGGGCGGCGGGCCTCGAGCGCCTGCGGCGACTCGCGGCTGCGCCTTTGCCTTTTGGAATCGCCCCCGTGGCCGAGCGTTGCGGCGAGAGCTCTGCCAAGGTGTCGGGCCATGTGTCCCCCCGGGCGTTGTGGAAACCCCGCGGGGAACATGTGGGAGAGGATGGCGGGGGGGATCGGGGGGGGGAGGAGGAGGAGGGGGAGGGGAAGAAGAGGAGGAGGAGGAGGAGGAGGAGGAGGAGGAGGAGGAGGAGGAGGAGGAGGAGGATGGAGGAGGAGGAGGAGGAGAGGAGGAGGAGAGGAGGAGGAGGAGAGGAGGAGGAGGAGGAGGAGGAGGAGGAGGAGGAGGAGGAGGAGGAGGAGGAGGAGGAGGAGGAGGAGGAGGAGGAGGAGGAGGAGGAGGAGGAGGAGGAGGAGGAGGAGGGAGGAGGAGGAGGAGCGTCTAGGGGCCCTCCCTCCTGGGGCCGTCTTGGGGGCCTCTTGAGCCATTCTGGGGCCATCGTGGAGGCTCGTTGGGCGATCTTGGGGCGACCTTTCGGGGCGCTTGGGCCGTCTCGGGCCGTCGGAAGGCCGACAAGAAGCAAATGCCACAATCCTTCAAACACCTGACGACGAATCAATGATTTTGGCTTTTCCGGGCCTCCAGGAGGTCCTCTTGGAGGCCACGCGGGCCGTCTTGGAGACCCCTTGGGGGCCCCTAAGGACCGTCTTGGGCCATCTTGGGCCGTCTTGGTGGGTTCCTGGCCCGTCTGACGCCGTTGGAAGCCGTCTCGGGCGTTGTGGAAACCTTGCGGGGAACATTTGGGGGAGGATGGCGGGGGGGATCGGGGGGGAGGAGGAGGAGGAGGAGAGGAGGAAGGAAGGAGGAGAGGATGAGGAGGAGGAGGAGGAGGAGGAGGAGAGGAGGGAGGAGGAGGAGGAGGAGGAGGAGGACCGTCTAGGGGCCCTCCCTCTTAGGGGCCGTCTTGGGGGCCTCTTGAGCCATTCTGGGGCCATCGTGGAGGCTCCTTGGGCGATCTTGGGGCGACCTTTCGGGGCGCTTGGGCCGTCTCGGGCCGTCGGAAGGCCGACAAGAAGCAAACGCAACAATCCTTCAAACACCTGACGACGAATCAATGATTTTGGCTTTTCCGGGCCTCCAGGAGGTCCTCTTGGAGGCCACGCGGGCCGTCTTGGAGACCTCTTGGGAGCCCCTAAGGGCCGTCTTGGGCCATCTTGGGCCGTCTTGGTGGGTTCCTGGCCCGTCTGACGCCATTGGAAGCCGTCTCGGGGGCCTCTGTGGGCCGCATTTGGGGTGTTCCAGGGCCGTCTTGGAGGCCATCTTGGGCGTCTTGGAAGCCTCTTGGGCTGTCTTGGGGCTCCTTGGAGCTGTCTTGAGGCCCTCTTGGGTCGTTCTGGGGCCATCGTGGTCTTGGGCGATCTTAGGGCGATCTTTGGGGCTCTTGGGCAACCTCGGGCCGTCGGAAGGCCGAAAAGAAGCAAATGACACGATCCTTGAAACACCTAAGACAAATCAATGACTTTGGCCTCTTCGGGCCTTCCTAGAGGTCCTCTTGGAGACCTCTTGGGCCGTCTTGGAGGCCTCTTGGGGGCCTCTTGGGCTGTCTTGGGTCATCTTGGAGCCATCTTGAACCGTCTTGGTGGATTCCTGGCCCGACGCCGTCGGAAGCCGTTTTGAATCCCTCTCTTGGTCCTCTTGGGGTGCTCCAGGGCCGTCTTGGAGGCCATCTTGGGCGTCTTGGAGGCCTCTTGGGCCGTCCTGGGGCTCCTTAGGGCCGTCTTGGGGGCCTCTTGGGCCGTTCTGGGGCCATCGTGGAGGTCTCTTGGCCGATCTTGGGGCAATCTTTGAGAGCTCTTGGGCCGTCTCGGGCCGTCGGAAGGCCGACAAGAAGCAAACGCTAAAATCCATTGAAAACCGTAGGGAAGTCAATGACTTTTGCCTTTTCGGGCCTTCCTGGAGGCCCTCCTCTTGGAGGCCTCTTGGAGGCCTCTTGGGCCGTCTTGGAGGCCTCTTGGGGGCCTCTTGGGCCGTCTTGGGCCATCTTTGGCCGTCCTGGAGACTTCTTGGGCGAACTTGGAGGCATCTTGGACTTTCTTGGGCCGTCTTCGAGGCCATCTTGCACCATCCTGGGCGATCCTGGAGGCCATCTTGGCCGTCTTGGAGGCCATCTTGGAGCCATCTGGTTCGGGATAATTTTGGCAACCGCCTCTTCTGGGTGGCTGGCAGGACGGGCCGAAGCCCCAGGGGAGTTCTTTTGGAGAAAACAAGGCCAAACCGTACGAAATCTAGCACGCCAGGCATCCCTGTGGCAAGACCACAGGGGGCGGGGCCTCTTGGGGGCCTCTTGGGGCCTCTTGGGAGCCTCTTGGGGCCTCTTGGGGTCTCTTGGGGCCTCTTGGGCCCTCCTGGGGCGCCTCGGGGCCTCGGGGCCGAGGGCTCGACATGTCCGCTCGGGTTCCATCTGGTCCCCTTTTTGGGACCGTCTTTGGGCCCTCTTACGCCGCCCTAGGCGCCTCTTGGGCCGTCTTGGGGCCCTCTTGAGACGTCTTGGGGCCCTCTTGGGGGCCTCTGTGGCCGTCTTGGAGCGATCTTGGCGGCCCCGTGGGCCGTCTTGGAGCGTTGGAAAGCCGAAGCGGCGAGAAGACCACAAACCTTCAAAACCTAGTCCATGTTTTTTGTCTCTTGGGGCCCTTGGGACGCCTCTTGGAACACTCTTAGAACGTCTTCGGGGCCTCTTGGGCCGTGTTGAGGCCATCTTGGGCGTATTGGAGTACGCTTTGGCCTTTTCGGATGCATCATCGGCTCTCTTGAGCGCTTTTTGAGCCCATGTTTGGCCTGCTGCGCTACTGGAGGACGCTCGCGACACGCCCAGTGAATCATTGGGAATCTGGGGAATCTCCAGGAATCCCCGGGAGTCCTTGTGAAACCCGTGGCTTGGGCCCTTAAAACGTTTACAACCTTACAGCTCTGAAATTCTCAGGGCTGCATGAGCCTTGGGGCATTCCGCTACGTGCTGCAGGCACGGTGGCGGATATTGCACCACACATATTGCACCACATATATTGTTCCACATAGGTTGCACGCCATACATAGCCAAAAACATGCTGTCGGGCCCACGCTGGCTATCATGTTCTGAACCCTGAAAAAAGGTCTCAGGCTTTCTCTGTCTTGGCTTCATTGCTGTAGTTGCCATTTTTCGATATATTGTTTTGCAGGAGCCGACTTCATGCTGACGTTGCAGCATATCATTTCTCAATTAGAGAATGATCTCGAAGGGTCTTTGATTGCATTACATCTTCCTGGTTCCAGAAGCGCTTCAGAGAGCTCGACGAGGTCCACAGCCGTAACCAGGTTGACGGTTTATCGCCGAGCCATAGCTGGTAATTGACAACTTTTAGCGATAGTTGGTCGAGCATGTGGTCAGCTCAACCCGCCCCGAATGTCTTCCGATTGCTCCAGGGTTTTGTGGCCTCCATGGAGAATGTTGGAGTCGATGGGCATGGGGGTCCAGGGAACATTGAGGAATTTCGGGGATATTCGAGGGAAGCCGAGTGGAGTTTCCATGTTCTCTTGGCCTTACAACCCCCTTCCCCGCTGGGACACGGTGTCGCTGCGCGGTTGCGCATGGCGGCCCGACGGAGCAGTCGTGAAGCAGCAGTGCAGATGTCAGGCGCCTCGCCGAGAGGCTTGACCCGTGTGTGGGCTGCGCTCCGAGTCTAGCCGCGAGGCTCGTGCTCGCTGCTGCACCCCTTGACGCCGCTTTGGTGTTGTAGTGGAGTTGTGATGCATCTGCAAACGCTGATGTCGATGCTGGGATGCTGGGGTCCGCGCATGCAAGTGGTGGGGTGCTAGGTGTTCCAGAGCGCTTGGATGGTGTTGCCGCTATCGCGAGCAGCTGTTGCAGTAGGCTGTCGCCGCCACAAGAAAAGCCCGTTCGCAGAACTGAAGATAGCTTTTAGGCTCCATGAGGCCGAAGAGCAATTTCGAGGAACCGTCTCTCTTCCCAGAATCCAAGTGGATATTCTGCTCTGAGTTTGCAGGAATCAGTTCTGGTGATCGGGCGCGCGCGACGCACCCGTGAGGCCCCCGAGCCCAAGGGCAAAGTCTTGCGTACTTTGTGAGTTGGCCAGAAGGGGGCGACTACGCAGGCGGGATTGAGACTGTGGCCATGCCTGGACATGGGGCGAGAGCGGGGGCGTCACTTTGCAGAGCCGCCGCTGGTCGATCATCATTCTGCCGATGGGGCAGGCGCTCCGCTGCGTCTGCCAGCGCGACTGCACGGATCGAGTTGTCCCTGCGTTTGTTCTGGACGCGTTCGGGTCACCACCCATTTCCGTGACTCATTCAGTAGTCGAGGACGGCTCTGGAGCAGGCTCAGAACGGCCGCCAGAACGCTCAGCGCCACCCTGTGTATTCCGGGTTCTTCTTGGGGGTGTTTCGGAGGCATCCTTAGTAATCTTCGGGGGCGGAAAAGAGGGGGGTGATGACTAGGGGGGGGTGGATATCATGGCGGGGGCCATGAGATTTCCCCAGATTCCATGGCGCCTCTTCTTATTTCATTACGTCCCTGGACCCCCCGCTGGGCCGCGCACATGCCGCCGGTCATGATTTGCACCCCCCCCTCTTGGACACCCCCCTCTTGCCCTCTTGGCCGCTCCCGAAATCTTGAGCCATCTAAGATTGTCTTTCAGGCTTGAAGACGCCCTAAGAGGCAGTCCCAGGCGGCGTGATCGAACGCGCCTCGGAGTCGACTGTCGACCGCTGCAAGCAAATCGGCCATCGAGGGAGTTTGTCTCACACCACAAGAACTACGATTTCAACGAGATGACGTGGCTACATCATGAGAAATTCGTATGAGTGGGGACTGTCGTGAAATCAGCTCCTGAAGTACACATTGTCCTGAGTAGACCCCCCGACGCGCGCAGCTTCTCATGCGAGGCCATGGCCTCACCCGCCTCGCCCTGAAGGGGCCTGGGCGCATGCCCGCACAGGCGATCCGTTTCCGTTTCCGTTTCCGTATCGAGATTGCTCGCGTTGGTCGGAGCGTGGTGCTACAGGCTTCCGAATGTGCACCCGGCGTGGATGTGCTCGCTTCTTCCGTGCGCGAGTCCCTCGCTTGCGACCCCGGCTGTGCCGGACTCGCACTGCTCGGGCGCGCAGCCCTGCCTGAGCTGTCTTGCCGCTTGCTACAGGCGGCCCGGATCAGTAGGTCGACTCCGCCAGAGCAGGGGTACCTTCGTGTCTTGTGTCTCGCGACCCGTGCCTCCTGCATCTCTGTGGCAACGTGGCCCTCGGAAGGGTCTTGGTGTCCTCTCGCGTGTCCTCTCCAGTCGAGTCCGACTGTAGGCCACCCGCGGGGGCGAGAAGAGAATCACGCTCTCGTGTGGTGGCCCAGGTTGGTGAGCTGCCCTTCTCCCCAGAGGGCGGCGCGAGGTCGCGAAGACCATCGCGCGTCGCGCAGGCAAAAGCACAAAGACACAATTTATCGTCGACTCCCAGGAAAATATACGAAAATATGGGAAGTGGGGGGGAAGACGAGACTCCAGAACACATGGGAAACTATGGGGAATCCTGTTATTCTCTACCTAGGCTCTGCCTAGAAGGGTTCTTACTCTCTTAGCTTAAAGGGGCCGGGCAGTGGAACACGCCCTGGGCGGTTCCCCCAGTCCCTTGGGAGCGGTTCCCCCCAGTCCCCTGGGAGCTTTAGCTTTAGCTTTAGCTTTAGCTTAGCTTTAGCTTAGCTTTAGCTTAGCTGTAGCTTACCTTTAGCTTAGCGTTTCGCTTAGCTTTTCGCTTAGCGTTTAGCTTAGCTTTAGCTTAGCTTTAGCTTAGCTTGAGCTTAGCTTGAGCTTAGCTGTAGCTTAGCTTTAACTTAGCTTTATCTTAGCTTTAGCTTAGCTTTAGCTTAGCTGTTGCTCAGCTTTAGCTTAGCTTTAGCTTAGCTGTAGCTTAGCTTTAGCTTAGCTGTTGCTCAGCTTTAGCTTAGCTTTAGCTTAGCTTTAGCTTAGCTTTAGCTTAGCTGTAGCTTAGCTTTAGCTTAGCTTTAGCTTAGCTGTGGCTTAGCGTTTAGCTTAGCTTTAGCTTAGCTTTAGCTTAGCGTTACTGTTACTACTAATGCTGCTTTCCTAGGGGTTCCAACTCCTAGGTAGGGTCGCACTGGGATAATTTGATTTATGTGTGTGTCCCATGGCCCCTTGAAAGAAGGGGTGCAGCAGAGACTTCGATGCCGCGATTCAGCCCTGCACTCGCGCTTCAGTGCGCAGCTGGCGCAGCTCAGGACGCGCAGGGTTCTCATGTGCCTTGGGAGCGGGAGGTGTCAGGAGGACCGGAGCGCTTCGCATCTTGGCATTGCTGCTGCTGCCCCGCCAGTTTTGGTGCGGCATGCTGTCTGACTGACTGCCTTCAGCTGTGTATATGGTAGTGTTAAGCCCGCCTTTTCCTTCGCCTTTTGCGGATCTTCATGCAGACTCTTGTTCAGGTGAGAGCGTGAACTGCCGCAGCACCACAATTTCAGGGTGGCCCATTCTTCCGCCAGGGCATCTGAGTTGGATCCTTTACACGGGCAGAAGAGCAACATATTGTGTTTAGTCAATGTCTTGCGCGCGCCCCAGACGATACGGCACACAAGAACGGAGACGAGGATTGCCACGGCTGCTTCACAGTGCATATTGCCGCTTGTGCCGTGGATGTCTTCAATCTCAGCCAAGAGTTTGTTTGAGTGAAAGTTGACAGTCGACGACAACATGTCCAGTGAAGGCAAAGCTTGCGGCACCCTCGTTCGGATTGCCTTTCTAAGACTTTGGACAGTCTGAAGCTCACCTTCGGGGTCTGCGGTAATGTCAGGTTAGGTTTCAAGCACGGATCAAGAGTCCCCCCCTGGCCACCATATTATCAGATTGTCGTGGGGAGGGGGGCACACGTAGGAACTTACAGGGGAAGCAATGAGACGATAGCCATCAAGGGAGCGAGGATTGTTCGACATGTATGTCCAATACGAAGCGGTTGCTTATGTCTAAGTTTGTTTTGATGAGGCGTTGACCGAATGCGAAATGTTTGAATTCAGTTCTCGTAGCACATACGAGTATGGACGTGAGTAGGCTGGAAAGATACCGTGTCTGGGGCTAGACATCGGATTCTTGACAATTATGCTTCCCGAGAGAAACAGCATTTGGAGCTTTGAAGCTATCAGAGTACAGGGAGTTCACCACATCTATGCCGGCATGCCCCGCCCCGGCCTTGCGGGCCCACGTTCATTTTTTTCGTCTTTCAAGTCTGTGCTGTGAAACTATCACGCGGGTAACATACATGTGTGTTAATTTTGGATCTTCCTGGAGATCTCCCCCTCTGGTCTTCCTCCAGATATGTCCCCCGATCCCCCTCCATGTCTTCTTCCATATGTTGATCTTCCTCTTGGGATTCCCCCTCTCGTCGTCCTTCCAGCTTCTCCTCAGGATGTTCATCCAAATCTTGCGCCATTGATTCTTCACATATCTATGTATATACATCTATCTCTCAATATATATATATATATCTATATATCTATGTATCTATATATCTATATCTATCTATCTATTTATCTATCTATATCTATCTATCTATCTATCTATCTATCTATCTATCTATCTATCTATCTATCTATCTATCTATATCTCTCGTCTCCCAGATCTTCCGCTAGATCTTTCCCTGGATCTACCCCCTCAGGCTTTATTTCCCTCATCGTCCCTTCCTGTCTTCCTTTGCATGTTCCTTCAAAGTATTCTCCACACTATCTCCCATGGATTTCCTCTGATCGTCCCTCAGATAATTTTCCCAGACCTTCCTTCGGATATTGTGCAGATCTTACCTCATGGATTCCTCCAGACTGCAGACAATCTCCACACTTTTTCCCCAGATCTTCCTCCAGATCTTGCCCCATAACTTCATCCATGTTGTTTCCACAGGTCTTCCTCCAGATGCAGCCCGCACGGTGGAAGTCAACAAATCAGTTCATGCGGCTCCTAGTTGGATGCAACATAATCGTTCTTGGCTCGATTGGCGGTCAAGCCGGCCTGCCATCAGTCTCAAAAGCGGTCCTTGGACCCACCCCTGGCGGGCACACACCCTGGCAACTTTTCCGAGCTGTGTGCAGCCGCGGCGACGAGAGGAGCCTTGGGCCCCCCAACGACCGCAGAAGCATGAAACAGACAGCGAGGAGGACTCAAGCGTCTGGCATCTTGTTTTGTCGATCCTCTCGCCTCTCGTCCCTCTCCCTGGAGCAGTTTTTCTTAACCATACTGGTGTTGGGTCCTCGTTTTGAAGGGACAGCGCTTCGCGTCTCCTATCCAATCCTCTCCTCTCCTTTCCTCCCTCCTCATTCTCCTCCCTCCTCCCATCCCTGCTTCTGCTCTCCGCATGTCCACCATCTTGGCGCACCACTCGCATGCTTCTTGGTCCCATCGGGAGCTCCACCTAAGATCCCACTGGCGCAGTTCGCATGCGTCCCGGCCATCCATGTCGGCACACCCCTCGCGCGTTTCGTGGCCCCACAGGGAGCTCCACCTAAGGTCCCAGTGGCGCAGTTCGCAGGCGTCCCGGCAACGAACTCATTCTGCCACACCCTCATATGTTTCGTGGCCCCTTGGGGATCTCACCTAAGGTCCCAGTGGCACAGTTCGCATACGTCCCGGCCACTCGTTTCGCCACACCCTCAGACGTTTCGTGGCCCCATGGGGAGCTCCACCGAAGGTCCAAGTGGCGCAGTTCGCATCCCGTCCTGGCCACCCATGCCGGCACACCTCTCGCTCGTTTCGTGGCCCAACAGGGAGCTCCACCAAAGGCGCCAGTGGCAGCGCCCGCATGGCAGTTCCGCCACATTTCGGCACACCGCTTACACGTCTTGTGGCCCCATAAAGGGGGCTCTGCCTCAGGCCCCACATGCAGCGCCCGCCAAATTTCGGCACACACTTCACACGCTTCGGTTCCTCATAAAGGGCATCCACCGAAGGCGATGTCAACAACGACGGTACTCACAATTGCATATGGTTGGGTCCTACGCCAGGATCATTTCATCCTAAGTGGTTTCCAACCGTCCTGTGGTGTTGGGCCCTCGTTTTGAAGAGACAGCGCCCCGCGTCCTCTCCTCTCCTCTCCTCTCCTCTCCTCTCCTCTCCTCTCCTCTCCTCTCCTCTCCTCTCCTCTCCTCTCCTCTCCTCCCTCCTTTTTCCTCCCTCCTCCCATCCCTGCCCCTTCTCCGCATGCCCATGTCGGCACACCCTTCACACGTTTCATGACCCCATGGGGAGCTCCACCGAAGGGCCCCGGCGGCAGGGTTCACAGGCGGTGCCCCGCCCTCTTCGGGGCACACCCCTCACACGTTGCGTGTCCCAGTATGGGTGTTCCACCCAAGGCCTCTTTTGGCAAAGTTCGCCTGTGGTTCCAAGCCCAGTTCGACACACCCTCACACGTTTCGTGGCCCCATAGGGGGCTCCACCGAAGGCCCCAGTGGCAAGGTTCGGATGCGGTTTCCAGCCCATTTCGGCACACCCCTCACACGTTTCGTGGTCCCATGGGGAGCTCCACCGAAGGCCCCAGAATAAAAGTTCGCATGCGTCCCGGCCACACATTTCGGCACACCGCTCACACTTTTCGTGGCCCCATAGGGAGCTCCACCGAATACGCCAGTGGCAATGTTCGGATACGGCCCCCCGCCCCCTGCGCATTCTGGCACATCGCTCACTTTCGTGGCCCCAAACGGAGCTCCACAGAAGGCCTCAGTGCCAAAATTTGCATACGGTTCCCCGCGTATCTCTTCACTCCGCTCACACCTTCCGTGGTCCCACAGGGAGTTCCACCGCAAGCGGTGCCACCACGGCGTATTCACATCTGCATATTTAGGCCCTTCGCCAGGATAAGTACCAGCCGGCCGCTCTGCGGCCGATCGGGCGTATCTCTACATAGAAGAAGGGGCGTGCGTTTCTGGGAGGGCGGAGCATGATCGAGAGCCCCGGGGGGCGCGGTGTGGCCTGACCTCTTCGCGCACTGGGAGTCGAGTTTGCCATGATGTCTCGAGCGCGAGCCCTGCCGGGGCACGCCCGGCGCGCCCCAGCGCGCGCCCCGGAGATGCTCCCTGGGAGCTGACTTCTTCGCGCACTGGGAGTCGAGTTTGCCAGGATGTCTCGAGCGAGAGCCCTGCCGAGGCACGCCCAGCGCGCCCCGGCGCGCGCCCCGGAGATGCTTCCTGGGAGCTGACTTCTTCGCGCGCCAGGGGTCGAGTCTGCCAGGATGTCTCGAGCGAGAGCCCTGCTGGGGCACGCCCAGCGCGCCCCGGCGCGCGCCCCGGAGATGCTCCCTGGGAGCTGACTTCTTCGCGCGCCAGGGGTCGAGTTTGCCAGGATGTCTCGAACGAGAGCCCTGCTGGGGCAACCCCGGCGCGTCCCGGCGCGCGCCCCGGAAATGGTCCCCCGGGGGCTCTGTGGGGCCTTACTTCCTCGCGCGCCAGGGGTGAGGATGACGTGAGTTCTACAGGAACTCCTTCGAATCATCCGTGAGGGCTTCGCCCCCTGCCGCCAGCCCCCTTTCTATCATAATGGGATATATCAGAGTCGCGTCGGTGCGTCTCGGCGCTGCCTTGGCGCATCTGGGAACATCATGCGGGGGCGGATAGGAATCATCGGCGCATATTGAGACGTGGGCGTTATCGAAGACGCCTACGGCGAATCACCGCCGCCCCCTGCCTTTTTGGAAGCGCCTATGTGGCCGAACGTTGAGGCCAGACCTGCCAAGCTATCGGACCACGTGTTCCCCGAATCGGTTTGGAAAGCCTTCGGGGAACACGTGGGCATCTTGAAGGTCATCTTGGCCGTCTTGGAGGCCTCTTGGGCAAGCTTTGGGCGATCTTTGGGGCTTTTTGGGCCGTCTCGGGCCAGCTTCGAGCCAACTTCGGCCATCTTGGTGGGTTCCTGGCACGTCTGAAGCCGTCGGAAGCCGTTTGGGGGGCCTCTATGGGCCGACTTGGGGCCCGCTTGGAATGCTCCAGGGCCGTCTTGGAGGCCATCTTGGGCGTCTTGGAGGCCATCTTGGGCGTGTTGGAGGCCTCTTGGGCCCTCTTGGGGCCCTCTAGGGGCCATCTTGGAGGCCACTTGGGCCATCATGGGGCTCTCTTGGGGGCCTCTTGGGCGATCTTGGGGGCTTCTTGGGCCGTCTTGAGCCGTCGGAGAGCCGAAAAGGCGCAAATGCCAAAATCCTTCAAAAACCAAAGGAAAATCAATGATTTTGGCCTCTTCGGACTCTCCTGGAGGACCTCTTGGAGGCCTCTTGGGCCGTCTGGGAGGCCTCTGGGGGGCCTCTTGGGCCGTCTTGGGCCGTCTTGGACTCTCTTGGGCCGTTTTGGAGGCCGTCTTGGACCATCTCGGGCGGACTTGGAGGCCATCTTGGGCCATCTTCGCGATTTTTTGAGGATGTCCCGAGCGAAACGGCCGTTTTTGGGCATTGACAGATGGGTTTTGTGAGATTTACGGGTGGCCGGCGGGACGGGCCGAAGCCCACTGGGGAGTTCTTTTAGAAAAAGAACCAAAACCAAAACCTGAATCGTCCAGCACGCCGTGCACCCCTGCAAGCAGGGGGCGGCGGATCCTAGTGGCCCTCGGCCCATCCCGCCAGCATATCTGGGTTGTGGGTCTGAGGCCTCTTGTATATGTGTCGGGGTGTCGTGGGCAGCCTCTCGGGGTCCTCTTGGAGACGGTTTCGGCGCCTCTTGGGGGGATCTTGGGGCCTCGTGGGATATCTTTTGAGCCTCTCGGAGGCCTCTTCGGCGCGTCTTGGGCGCCTCTTGGGGCCTCTTGGGAACTTCTGGGCGCTTCTCGGGGCTTCTCGGAACGCTTCTTGGGCCATCTTGGAGCCCTCTCGGGCCGTCTTGGGGCCCTCTTGGAGGCGTCTTGGGCTGTCTTGGGGCGGTCTTGGGAGCTTCGTGAGCCATTCTGGAGTGTCGGAAAGCCGAAAATGCGAGAACCCAAGCTCTTTCAAGCACTTGTGTAAAATCGACGATGTTGGCCTTTTGGGGCTCTCTCGGGAGGCCTCTTGGAGTGCTCTTGGGGCCGCTTGGGGCCCTCTTGGGCCGTCTTGGAATCATCTTCGGGCGCCTTGGAGCATTTTTGGCCTCGGCAATTCGCATATGACCGAAATTGCTAGGGCTTACGGCCACGTGGACGCGAACATGTAATAATTTACAAATGTTTGCTGCCTCGGGGACACAAGAATTAAGTCATTTACGAGGATTTGTGGCCTCGGGGGCGCGAACATTGAGGAGTCATTTTCGAGGGGTTCTGGCTTCGAGGACGCGACTACTGATCCATTTGCGAGTTTTTTTGCAAATCATTCTGGCTTCGGGGACGCGAATATTGCGTAATGTACGAGGGTTTGTTCGCTTGGGGTCGCAAGAGTTGAATAATTTATTAGGATTTGTTGCCTTGGGGGCGCAATAATTGAATAGTCTGCGAGCGCTACTGGCCTCGGGGGTGCGAACACTGCGTAAGTTACGAGGGTTTTCGTGCTTCGGGGACGCAACGCTTGCATCATTTGCGATGGTTATTGGCCTCGGGGCCGCGAATCTTGCATCATTTACTTGGGATCGTTGCCTCGGGGGCGCAACTGTGGCATAATTTACAATGGATCGTGGCCCCAGAGGTACGAATGTAGGGTAATGTGTAGGAGATCGTGGCCTCGGGGGCGCGGATATGGAGTATTTTACAAGGGACCGTGGTTTCGGGGACGCGAATGTGGTGCAATTTGAAAGAGATCGTGGCCTCGGGGACGCGAGCGTGGTGTAATTTTCGAGGGATCGTGGCGTCGGGAGCGCGAATGTGGAGTAATTTGCAGGGGATCGTGTCCCCAGAGGTACGAATGTAGAATACTTTGCGGGAGATCGTGGCTTCGAGGCCGCGAACACGGTGTATTTTACTAGGGATCGTGGTTTGGGGGACGCGAATATGGTGTAATTTACAAGGGATCGTGGCCCCAGGGGCGCGAACACACTGTAATTTACGATGGATTATTGCGCTGGGAGGGCGAATCTGATGTATTTTTATGTGTTCGACGGCCCTGCAGGAATTCAGACAACGCGATTCGGGGGTGGTAGCGGGGTTGTTTTTGGCTCCCCCATCCTCTCGCGGACTTCAACAATTTACAGTAGGAACCAGAACGCAGGATTGTAAAATCGGAGACTGGAACCTGGAACTGGTGCAGGGTACCGAAACCTGATCCTAGCAGCGTGATGGCCCCACAAGGGGGCCAGCGGCATTCCCCAACTAGTGCTTACACATGTGGGTCGCTCAGTCGTTCCCAACCATGCTTTGGTGTTGGGTCTTCGTTCTTCCCAACCATCCTGTGGTGTTGTGTCCTCGTTTCGAAGAGACAGCGCCCCGCGTTCTCCTCCCGCCTCCTTCCTCCCGCCTCCTCCCTCCTCCCTCCTCCGCGTTTCGTGGCCCCATGGGGAGTTCCACCTAAGGTCCCAGTGGCGCAGTTCGCATGCGTCCCGGCCACCCATTTCGGCAGACCCTCTCTCGCTTCGTGGCCCCATGGAGAGCTCCACCTAAGGTCCCAGGTGGCGCAGTTCGCATGCGTCCTGGCCACCCATGTCGGCACGCCCTCATACGTTGCGTGGCCCCATGGGGAGCTCCACCTACGGTCCCAGTGGCGCAGTTCGCATGCGTCCTGGCCACCAACTTGTGTATTCCCCTCGCACGCTTCGTGGTCCCAGAGGGAGCTCCACCGAAGGCGCGCCACTGGCGCAGTTCGCATGCGTCTCGGGCACCCATCTCGGCACACCCATCGCACGTTTCGTGGCCCCACAGGGAGCTCCGCCTAAGGTCCCAGTGGCGCAGTTAGCATGCGTCCCGGCCACCCATTCCGGCACACCTCTCACAGGTTTCGTGGCCCCATGGGGAGCTTCATCGAAGGCGCCAATGGCGCAGTTCGTATGCGTCCGGGCCCCTCATCTCGGCACACTCTTACACGTTTTGTGGCCCCACAGGGATCTCCGCCTAAGGTCCGCGTCCCGGCCACTCATTTCGCCACACCCTCCCGTTGCGTGGCCCCATGGGGAGCTCCACCTAAGGTCCCCGTGGCGCAGTTCGCATGCGTCCCTGCCACCCATTTCGGCAGACCCTCTTTCGTTTCGTGGCCCCATGGGGGAGCTCCACCTAAGGTCCCAGCGGCGCAGTTCGCATGCGTCTCGGCCACCCATTTCGGCACACCCTTCGCACGTTTCGTAGCCGCACAGGGAGCTCCACCGAAGGCTCCAGTGGCTGTGTTCACATGTGTCCCGTGTCACCCAGTACGGCGTTTCGTGGTCCCATGGGGAGCCCCACCGAAGACGATACTCACGGATGCGGTACTCACAGCTGCACATGGTTGGGTCCTTCGTCAGGCTGATTAAAGAGACAGCGCCCGCGTCCTTCCTCATCCTATCCCTTTCCCTGTAGCCTCACGCGGTTACCACGCTCGAGCGGTTAGTGGCCCCATAGGGAGCTCCACCGAAGGCTCATGTGGCAAAGTTCGCATGCGGTTCCCCGCCCTTTTCGGCACTGTGCTCCAGTGGTAGGATTCGCATGCGAGTCCCCGCCACTTTTAGCACCCCGCATGACACGTTACCCATTTCGGCACACCCCTCACACGTTTCGTGGCCCCATAAGGAGCTTCACCGACGGCCCCATTTGCAAAGTTCGCATGCAGTTCCAAGCACACGTCGGCGCACCCCTCACATGTTTCGTGGCCCCGTAAGGGGGCTCCATCGAAGGCCCCAGTGGCAACTGGTTCCACGCCCACTGCGGCGCACCCCTCACACGTTGCGTGGCCCCACAGGGAGCTCCACCGAGTGCGCCAGTGGCACTGCTCACATGCGTTTCCCGCATCTATTTCGTAGGGAGCTCCACCTGAAGGCTCTTGTGGCAGCATTCGCATGCTTTCCGGCCGCACACTTCGGCATATCCCCAGCTGGTTGGAGGCTCCTGGGGTGCTCCACTGAAGGTTCATGTGGCGCAGTTTGTATGTGTTCCCGCCACACATTTCGGCATACCTCTCACACGGTTCGTGGCCCCATAGTTAGGTCCACCGAAGGCTACTGCGGCAGCGTTCGCCTGCGCCCCCGCCTCACATGTCGGCACATCTCTCACACGTTTCGTGGCCCCACAGGGAGCTCCGCAGAAGGCTCCAGTGGCAAAGTTCACATGCGGCTCCCCGTCCACAGCATACCCATGTCAGCACAACCCTTCACACGTTTCGTGGCCCCATAGGGAGCTCCACAGAAGGCCCCAGTGGCAGGGTTCGCATGCGGCCCCCCGCCCACCGCATGTCGATTTCCGCGTGCCCCTCACACGTTTCGTGGCGCCGTGGGGAGTTCTGCCGAAGGCCCCGGTGGCAGGGTTCGCATGCGCTTCCCCGCCCGTTTCGGCCCACCGCTCACGCGTTCCGCGTCCTCACAGGGAGCTCCACCGAGGACGATACTCACATCTCCGTTATTCACTGTTGCATATGGCTGGGTCTTTCGCCTGGATCATTTTCTAAGGAGTTGTGCCTGCGCGTCGGTCTGGCAGCCATGTTGAAGCCGTCGCCGCCCCGCTGCCGCCTCGTCGCCGCCCGTTGTCCGGGCCTGCGCGTTGGGTCCGCCGCCCTGTTGTTGCCGTCGCCGCCCCGTCGCCGCCTCGTCGCCGCCCGTCGTCTGGGCCTGGGTGGCAGTCCGGCTGCCGTGCGGCCGCCGTCGCCGCCGCGTCGCCACCCCGTCGCCGCGTCGTCGCCGCCCGCCGCCTCGTCGCCGTATTGCTTCGCATTCAATCGCACTGCTTTGCATTGCATTGCGTTGCATCGCTTTTGCTTACATTGTTCCGCATTGCAATCGTATTGCATTGCTTTGCATTGCTTTGCATTGCACTGCGTTGCAACGCCTTGCATTGTTTTTGCATTTTCTTGCGTTGTTTTGCATTGTCTTGCATTGCGTTGCGTTGCTTTGCACGGCTATCGTATTGCTTTGTGGTGCTTTGCACTGCGTTTCATTGAGTCGCATTGATTTGCTGTGCTTTGCGTTGCTTTGCCTTGCATTGCTTTGCATTGCTTTGCGATGCAATCCTATTGCATATCTTTGCAAGAGTTGCGTTGAGTTGCATTGCGTTGCATCGCTTTGCATTGCTTTGCTTTACTTTTCTTTGCATTGCTTTGCATTGCTTTGCATTGCTTCGCATTGCTTTCCATCGCTTTGCATTGCTTTGCATTGCTTCGCATTGCTTTGCATTGCTCTGTTCTACGGTGATTGCACCACATGGATTGCACCGCCTGGATTGCCCCGCATAGATATCCTGGAACGGGCGTCCAAACGCTCAGAACGTAGACACTTGTGCCACACTTTCTTTGCTAGCCGTCGGGTGTCTGGGGATGAGGAGGATCCCTTCTGGCCAGGGCGCTCTGCCGGCATCGTCCAACAGAGGGTGTCGGTGGGCGCGCGCTGCGCAGGACTACGGCGACGGCCTCGACCTGAAGATGGCGCCATCACGCCGCGCTCCCCGTGCCATGTGTCGGCCTCCTCCCGCCGCCTCTTTCTTGCCTTTTCCTTCCATCCCTCGTCCTGGCATGCACTTCCCCCCCCCCGTCGCACAACCAGACTTGCCGGGGGGGCGGGCTGGGCGTTTGGCCGGAGACTATGTCGCAACTTCTGATGTTCAGGCTTGCAGACATCCAGCGATTTTGCACGGGTGGAGGGCGAATGGTCTTTACCACGTGGTTCTCGCCTTGGCACCGTGGACAGTCTTTGTCCAAGTTTTCGGCAAAACACGGGTGCAGTGTGGTTTCTCTTTCTTTGTGGAGTTCTCGTTTGAGACGACGTTTTTATCCATGTGTGCGTGTATGCGTGTGTGCTTGTGTGTGTGTGTGTGTGTGTGGTGTGCGTGCGTGCGTGCGTGCGTGCGTGCGTGCGTGCGTGCGTGCGTGTGTGTGTGTGTGTGTGTGGTGTGTGTGTGTGTGTGTGTGTGTGTGTGGTGCGTGCGTGCGTGCGTGCGTGCGTGCGTGCGTGCGTGCGTGCGTGCGTGCGTGCGTTTGTGTGTGTGTGTGCTTGTGTGTGTGTGCCTGTAGACTTGGCTTCAGCCCCCTGGCTCAAGCCTGGCTCAAGCCTTGGCTCAAGCCGCTCTGGGTCAAGCCGCCGGCCGCCAGGTGGCCACTCATCCTCTTCTCACTTCCGTTCGTTTTCCTTAGCGGCATGGGGCACAGGCGCGCGCTTGCCCCTCGGCCGCTGGCAACATGCTCGCGTTCGTCTGGCAGTTGAGCGTCTACACGTTCTGCTTCAGAAACAATGCCACCAGCGTGGCCAACACCAACCCAGTGGAGGCGTGCGTCCAGGTCACCCAACTCATGGTAAGCCTCAGGCGACTACGACAGCATGGTGATCGCGATCGCGTCCACGATGGTGCTGCCCAACGCTGAGCAGTCGCTGTAGGTCTCTCGGACATCGCCATCCTCTGGGGCTTGTTCCTGTACACGGCGCGGCTCGAAGGGGGCGACCGGCAAGTGGCGACTCACGGGATGCCGGGAGCCTTGAGACGGGGGTCAATGCAAACGGGAGTCAGCCAGAGCGCCCGATCTTGCAGGATCCTGCAGGGCCAGGGTCGCATTGACCCGGGCTTGGGTGAAGGATCCTGCAGGATCCTACAAGATCCTTCGCAATTGACCCGGGCTTGGATGCAGGATGTTGCAGGACTTTGCAGGATTCTGCAAGGCCTGATTGACCCAGGTTTGTCTGGATTGACCCGGGTCAGAAGATCCGAGGCGGGAATATATATATATATATATACATGACCACCACCTGGAGGATCATTTTTCGGGGACCTCGGCAAGGGGTGGATATGGACATACTCGGGCCCCTAGGGGCCAATATTTATTTATTTATTTTTTTATATATATATATATATATATTTATATCCACATCCACCGCCCGCGGGGGCACCGGGACGTCGGTTCCCAGGCGGTGGCTAGGGAGAAGTCCCTGCCTCGCAGCAGATCCCCGAGGATGGTCGGCAGGGCGTGCCCGCGAGGCTGCTGCCCCGCACGGGGGCTGGTGCTGCAGGCCCTGTCCCCGAAAGTCTCCGTGAGCCCGGACCCGGGGGCCCCTGGGTCCTGGTGGACCCTTCCTTTCCTCTCTCGACTTTTCCCCTCCGTGTCGCTTCGGGTTTAGCCTAGGGATAGGGCTCGGCGTGCCTTTCCGTAGCCCTTTGGGCTTAGCGACCTCATTCTCATGTGCTGTGCATAAAGGCTCCCCCTCGCCCTTTCGATCCCTCCTCCCGCCGTGTGCCACACAGTGTCGGACAATGGTAAGCGGAGCTGATGGTGAGGGGCAGCAGGGGAGCCCGAGGGCCAGCACGGCCGGAACAGAGGGAGCTCATGCCGGACAAACTGCCAGCACCCAGACCGACAATGCGGGCCAGGACCCGTGGACGGCAAGTGCTCAGTGGTGGTCTGGATGGACGCCAGACGGCTGGCGCGCGGCAGGTTCATGGCAGTGGGTTCCCACTGCGGGGGCGAGCCAAGCCGCAGACCCAGCTGCGACGGCTGGCGCGGGGGCGCTGGCGACTGGCGAGACCGACGTGGCGGACGCATGGCAGGGGTGGCGCGATCGAGGTGAACCTGATTGGAACTCAGGGACATGGGCGACTCCGAACCGTGACTTCGGCGCGCCCCCCGTCTGGCTAGGGTACGAGCACCTCGACGTTTACAAGAGCAACATCCGTGCGTGGTCAAATCGTACGGGATTTGCAAAGGAGGTGCAAGCAGGGAAGATACTTGAGACGCTGCCCGTAGACATTCAGCTGAAATTTAAGTTGATTCGAACGACTCTCGATGTCAGAGCAGGTACCGACCTTCTTCTAGACCACTTGGCGGTGCTGAACGGAGAACGGCCGGGAGACAAAGAACGCGAAGCTCACAACCTGGCGCTGTTCGACTATGGCATCCGCCGAGACGAGAGCATCACAGACTACGTCTTGAGGCGGGGCGCCCAGCTAGCTCAGGCTGAATCGTTCGGGCTGTCTCTACCGGATAATGTGAAAGCTAGGTTCCTGGAGGAAGGAGCTAACCTGAGTCCGCAAAATCTCATCAACCTTCGAACTCTTGCGGCGGGAGATCGGAGTGCGACAGCAGTTAGACAGGCCTTGCTCCAGCTTGATGTGCGAGAGCGAGGAGTACTGCCAGGCGCCAAGGCGACGGGCGGCAAAACCTACGTAGAGCAGGAGATAGTCGAGGAGGTTCTGCCGCCGCCCTCGCCGTGGGTCTCGGACGTTGACGTGTCGACTTGCTTTGAGGACGTGGACGACAGTTTCGGGCTGCTCGAGGACGACGCGAAGGTGTTCTTGGAGGCGCTTGGCGACCAGGATCTGGATGAGTCCGACCTCATGCCTGTGCTGGCGGCCATCATCGAAGAGAAGATCGGCAAAGAGAAACGTCTTGCGTGGACTGAGGCCCGCAAGATGAAAGCTGCCCGTCGAGTGGATCGTGAGTTTTTCGATCGTCGCCGCGCCGCCCGCCCGGGATACAAGCGCATCACCTCCGTTGATTTGAACAAGAAGACTAGGTGCGCTAACTGTGGCGAGCGTGGTCACTGGGCCGAGGACTGCCGGAAACCCTGCAGGTCCAAGTCTGATCGGCTCGCGGGGGAGAAGAAGGAATCGGTGGCTGCTGCGACGAAAGGTTCTTCGAGTTGGTCGGGCTACGCCTTCATGAGCGCGGAGGACGACCCTACATTCTTGGAGAACGTGCAGTTGACGAAGCTCGAGATGACGGCCGACTGTGTCGAAAGTGTGACGGCTGATACTTGTGCCGCTGGTTTGGCCTCGGATCCGGTTGACTGGCGCTCGACAGGCACGTGGGCGACCTTCTCCATCGAGGAGTTGGTTGGTCTGGTCAGTGGGAAGACGGTGTCCGAGCTGAATTTAAGGAACATGAGGGATCACGGACTCGTTGACACCGCTGCTGGGCAGGCACTCGTCGGGGCGCCGGACATCGAGAACCTGCGGGGGGCCTTCAAGCAGAGGGGCTACCATGTGCACTTCGACTGGGCGCCTGTGCAGGGCAGGCGGGCTTCGGGTATAGGCGGGTCTGCCGAGCCCGTTGGCCGTGCCTGGGTCCCGTGCTCTCTGGCGGGGCTCGGGTTTATCGAGTTCCTGATCCTCGAGGGCCAGGTGCCGCCGATACTTCCAGCGAAGTTTCTCGAGATGGTCGAGGCGAACATTGACCTGGTCAGCGACGTGATGACCGTCGCGGACTGCGGGGAGCGCGTGGATAGGAGCCTCTTTCGCCACCCATCTGGTCACAGATCCGTCTCGCTGACCCACTGCGCCCCCGAGCACTTCCGCGTCCCATCGCAGCTGCTGATGAGCTTGCCACGGGGATGCTCGACGGGGCTGCCTCAGGACTGCACGGGGAAGGGCAGTGAGAGCGCGAGTCCGTCGGCCCAGTCAGCCCTCCTCTCCTTTCTCGCTCGCTCGAGGCCTCCAGGAGCTCTTGGGACTTCGGGAAAGGGTGTCTCGGGGTCTCCTGGGGGCAGCGGGTCCGTAGATTGCCTGGTTCGAGAGCAAGACTCAGCCTCTGACCAGCCCAACTCGCGCCGAGAGTTTCGGCCATTTGATGATCAAGAAGCTCGGCAAGAAGAAGATGCAGCGCAAGCCGAGGACGCTGGGCTCGATCGTCGAGAGCGACACCGACATGTCCGGTTCCGAGTGGGAGGCGCTTCCGGAGACGATCGAGGCGGCTCTCGAGGCGGACGCGATGACGCAGCAGGAGGAGATCGAGTTCCACAGCGGCCAGCTCAACCTAGCGAAGTACCAGTACAAGTGGCGTCACTGGTTTCTTCGCCTGACGTGCGTGGACCTGGTGCTCAAGACGATGAAGGCGATGGTCCAACGTCTGCCCAAGAGTTTCACGGAGTCGTTCCCGTCCGAGATGTGCGAGCACCCGCCGTGGGCACGCAAGCAGGGCTCGAATCCGACGTCGGTGTACGAGCACTGTCGCCAGTGTGCACAGCGGCTGTGGTGCCGCGACAAGACGGCGGAGGAGCTGTTCGACGCGCAGCGCCGGAAGCACGAGAAGGCGACGGCGAAGGTTCAGAGGGCCGAGGCAAAGGAGAAGGCCGCGCAGATGCTCAAGGACTACAAGAACGGCAGGTTCGAGGCGTTGCCTCCGGACCCCTGGACGCCAGGCCCAGAGCCACAGGGGGCCAGGCGCGTGGTATCAGGCTCGGGGTCGACGGCGGTGATCTCGGCCGCGGGGGTCCCTCCGTGCCCGCAGAACCTGCTTGTGCCGATCGCCGAGGGGTACGTTCCCTACAAGCACCCGCCTCCGGTGAAGCAGGAGGGCGCTCCGCCGAGTGCGGCGGCGGGCGCGACGCCCAAGCCGCCAGGGCCCTCGGCCTCCCGACCGATGTCGGTCACGGAGATGCAGACGGCGCTCAGCGACATGAAGATCTGCATCGACACCCAGGCTCGCAGCAACGAGAGGATCTGGGAGCGTGTCCGGGAGTTCGTCAACTCGGAGAGGGCCGCGAGGGACGCCCAGCCGCCGCCGACGTTCACGGACGAGGACCTGGCGAGGCTGGCCTCCATGATGATGCGGATCCAGAGCATCCAGGGGGCCGGCTCGGCGTCGGGGTCGCAGGGCCCGTAGGCTCTTCCAGGCTCGCCGCCGAGGAGGGCGACGAGGTGATGCGGGCTTTAGGAGCTCTGAGGGCTGCCAGCAGCTGGCGACAGGGGCCGCCGCCGAGGTCCCAGGACATGTTCGCCTGGAGCGTTCAGGTTTACCACTCGAGGCCCAGGAGAGAAGACAAAGCGTTTGGGTCCGGAAAGGTCCAGGGCCTCTGGGGCCCCAGGGAGAAGCGATTTCTGAGTTCGGCCGACCTTCCGTCCAAGGTCAACTGGAGTAGGACGCCAGTCGAAGGTGCCCTTCACTCTTCTTTCTTTCTCGCTCTCTCTATAGAGCGTTGCGGCGGCAAGGCGCCAGCCTGCCTCATTCCTCCTCGTGCGCGTTGGGTTGAGATTTGCGGTTGCGACGGCAGGGTGTTTTTGAGCCGGCCCTGGGCGGCCGCCACGAGCGAAGACATCGACGAAGCTCTGTCCCTCTCGTGTCAGGCTCCAGTGAGAGAAAGAGGGACTCCTGAGGTCACCCTCTGGCTTGATCCAGGCACTAAGGAGGGCGAGAGGAGAGGTGAGGAGAGTGAGGAGGAGGAGGAGGAGGTGGGGGCCTCAGCGGTCAAGGAGGGTCTCAATTACGTGATCGAGGATCGCTTCGCGGCCGCAGCCTTAGCCGGTGCAGTCCCGAAAGCCCCTCTCGAACGTCGCGGTTCCGCGCAAAGTGCGAGAAGAATCGGCGCGGGTCCTAGGGGGTGCTGGCCTCAGATCAGGCCGGCGGCTTAGAACCAGGGAGCTCCAGCGGGCGGAGCGCCTAAAGGGGGGGGGCCTTAGCTATGGAGGTGTTCTCGAGGCCCCAGGTGGCCCCGCTGCTGGAGAAGAAAGGGTATGAGGTCTCCTCAGCCTCGGACGTCCTGACGGGACAGGATCTCAGCACACCTCGAGGCCGCGGCGAGCTGTGGCGGCGGATCGAGGCCGACGAGCCACTGGTGATTACTATGTCCCCGGTCTGTAAGGCTTTCAGCAAGGGTTCCGTTCTGGGATACTATGGACCGAGTCAAGCTAGTCGAGGAAGAACAGAAGGGGCTTGAGTACATGCATCTGTGCGTTCTGATCGCTCGTCACCAGATAAGTCGTGGCAGGTATTTTTGGTTTGAGCAGCCGGATCGGGCCAGCTCTCTCGAGCTCGATTCGGTCAAGGAGCTGATGGCTCTCCCCGGGGTGCTCACTCGTCGGACGGATCAGTGTGAGTTTGGTTTGTCAGTCTCGAAGGACGGTAGTCTCTCGCGGAAGCGCACCGTCCTGATCAGTAACTCCGAGCCGCTTCTAGCCCACTGTGTTCGGGAATGCTCCAAGACCCACTCCCATCTTCCCCTAGGGGGTGGGCGCAGGACCAGCCTGGCGGAGCGCTACCCTGACGAGCTCGTCCACGCGATTGCGGCCGGCATCGAGCATGCGGGCTGGCTGCATCACTTTTCCAGCCCTTCACTGACCGCCGCGGCCGAGGATTCGGATGCGGACTTTGAACCCCCGTCGTTTCCCGAGGTTGAGCCGGAGGGAGGCTCCGACGCCGACGAACCTGAAACGCGGCCCCCGGACCCCGGACGCCCCCGAGGAATTCCAGTGTCTCAGGCCTCCGGAGGCCAGGCGGAGTTGGACGCGGCCCTCCAACAAGAGGTGCATCGTTTGCACGTCAATTTGGGGCATCCGAATCGGTCAGATTTTCTTCGCACGCTTCGGGTAGCACGGGCTCGCGAAGATGTGCTCAAGTGGGTTAAGGAGGAGTTTCGTTGCGCAGCCTGCGAGGCCCACTCTCGGCCTCACTGGAGGCGACGTGCGCACATCCCTCGTACTTATCAGTTTAATTGGGTGGTGGCCGTGGACTTGTTTTATCTTGACGTGGGGGGTAACTCGGTGCCAGTGCTGAACATCACAGATCATGGGGCGTCGTATCAGCAGGCGTGCCTCCTCCCCAACGATTCTGCTAAGGTGACGTGGCGCGCCTTCCTCCAATGGTGGATCAGACCCTTCGGCATTCCAGACATCGTTGTGTCCGACGGAGGGGGGGGGCTTGAAAGGGAGTTTAGCAGGGGATGCGAGCACAATGGTGTTTTCCATCAGGTTGTTCCAGCCAATTCGCCGCACTGGAACGGCAAGTGTGAGAGGCATGGCGGAATATTGAAGGATGCCCTCTCCAAGGCGTCGCTGGCTCTTAGCCCCTCCACCGCCGTCGAAGTTGAGGAAACCTGGCTGAGTGCGTTGCTCAGAAGAACCAGACCTATCATCGTGGCGGTTTTTCCCCCACCCTGTTAGTTTTCGGTTGTAGCCCTAGGGTCCCGCGGGCTTTGCTGAGCGACGAAGGGGTTGATTTGATTGGCTGTGAGGATGTCCTGAGAGAGGGCCCCGACTCCGACTCAGCGGCTGCCGAGTTTGCCCGAAGGCATCGGGTCCGAGAGGAGGCCAAGAAGGCGCTCGCGGCCATGGATGCCCGGTCTCGCTTGTCTGAGGCCTCTCGCTCCCGCCTTCACTCCGACAAGATTATTAAGCCTGGGGAGTGGGTCTACGTTTGGCGTCGAGTGACCTCTGCCAACAGATCCCACTCCTTGCAGCGTGACAGGTGGACCGGCCCTGGCGTCGTAGTCCACCAGACTGGAAGCGCCGTTTGGGTTGCGATGGGAACTCGTCTCCTTAAGTGTTCGGAGGAGCAAGTAAGGCCCGCCACCAGGCAAGAAGCTTTGGGGGCGGAGTTGTTGGATACCGAGAGGTTCGACGCTCTTCGCGAGCAAGTCAGGTCCCCGGGGAGACGGATTGGCGCCGTCGACGTGGCCTCCGAGGGGCCTCCCCCCCAACGGCGTCACGATACTTCCGGCGGCGGAGAGCCAGTCGTCCCACCTCCGGCCTCGAGAACCCTGGATGCCGGGCCCCCGGAGGGTCCCGTTTCCCCGGCTGCTCCAGGATTGGCCCGTCAGCTTTCGAGTCAGGCAGACATTCTTAACCCCGCGGTCGAGGGTTCCCTGGGTCGTCTGGTGAGTTCCGAGGCATCAGCCAGTCGCGCTCCTGCCGGGACAGCACCTGTCGCTGTCGGCCCAGTTTCAGTTGGCGCCTCGGCTTCGGGGCTCGAGCCCCCTCGTGAAGCTGAGGCCCGGAGGCTGGAGCAGCCTGCCGAGAGGCGAGTGGTGCCCAGGCTGACGCCAGCCGAGGATCCAGGCGAAGGGCCTCGTGTTGCCAGAATGATCTTCGAGCGGGAAGCCTCCACTGGAGACGCTCCGAGCGAACCTTCTACCGCTCCGGCCCTCCCGGGCCCTCTCGTTCGTTCTAGGCCCCTGGGGGCCGGGAGCCTGTCCGCTCCTCGGGCGACTCGAGTCTCCGGTTCGGCGACCGGGCCGGTTCCTCGGGTGCTCGAGGGCCCTCGTGGGGCCCCGCCTCTTTCCCCTGGCCCGGCGTCCGCGTCCCGGGGGCCCGCGTCGGAAGGCCCCTACCTGGCCTACTTGGAGGGGTCCGAGGATGACTGGCAAGACGAGGCCCTTCTTCAGGAGCTGGCGGAATGGTCCGCTGTGCCTGGTGCTGTGGATCTCTTTTCCTTTTTCGGTCTTGCCTTTGAAGATTTTTCTGGATTGGCTCACGCTGGAGCCCCGTCCAAGCCTCGAGGGGCGGAGGTCGTATGGAAGCACCTGTCGGATTCGGAACGCCAGCAGTTTCTCGAGTCAGATCGATCCGAGTGGGAAGCGATACTCAGCTCGGGTGCCGTTCTGGTCTTGAGCTCCGAGGAGTCCAGGTTGGCTAGGAGGCGTTTCCCTGACCGGATTCTCTCTTCCAGAATGGTGCGACGGCTGAAGCCCCAGGAGGGCGTCGGGGCGGCGCCTAAGGCCAAGAGCCGATGGTGCGTACATGGACATCAGGACCCAGACGGGGAGTCTTTGTCCGTGTACGCACCCACGCCCCAGTCAGAAAGCATTAATAATGGTGGCGCTTCATATAATCACGTCCATGAGGTGGAGGCTCCAAGTGGCTGACGCGAAGAATGCGTTCTGTCAGAGGGATCGCCTCCGCAGGCCTCGGGGGGCCATCTATGTGGAGCCCTGTCACGGGCTTACCTAGGGTTCTGATCAACTTATCGAGCTGGTGGCCCCGGTGTACGGCCTCAACGACGCCCCTCTGCTGTGGCATCGGACCCTGACTGACTGGCTGTCAACTCAGGGCTTCACGAAGTCTTTGCTGGAGCCGTGCCTGTGGCTGAAGCGTGGCGAGCACGGGCGCTTAGAAGCTTTGGTTTGAATTGAGGTCGACGACCTCATCGTCGCCGGCGACGACCGGATCATGGATCCTCCGCGTCAGGCGATGTGCCAGCGTGTTCAGTTCGGAAAGTGGAAGTTGGGTGAGTCTGAGTATGCAGGTCGTCGAGTGGTCCAGCACGGGGACCGCATTACGGTTGACCAAGAAAAATACATTAGGGAACAGCTTAGTGTCATGCAGCTCACCAGAGAGAGAAAAGCGACCCCCGACTCTCCCCTCACCCCCGACGAGATTTCGGCGCACCGCACTGTCGCGGCACAGGTGCAAAGGCTGGCTCGTGAGAGCCGCCCGGATGTTGCTGGGAGCGCGTCTCTCCTGGCCGCCGCTTTGCTTGCCCCGTCTGTGTCAGACGCCTTGGCGCTTGCCAAGGTGTGTAAGTACCTAAAGGGATCGTGCGAGCAGAAGTTAACCATTTGGTCACTAGACCCCTATTCTCTCATTTTCGCCACTGCGAGTGACTCGGGTGGACCCGGGGCCGCGCGTCGGGGAGGGGCCCAGGGTGCCTGGATTGTGATGGCGGCCGACGCCGGCATCAGGGAAAATCGTCGCTAAAAGGTTAGGACCTTGTCGTGGCGTTCTCAGCGTATCAAGCGGGCTGTCGCCAGTACTGTGGCCGCCGAGACCCTTGCTCTGTCGTCGGCTACGGGCGAGGCCCAGTGGCTTTAGGTTCTCTTTCGAGACGCGGTCTTCAATGATGTGTCGCGCCCCGATTGGTTTGATGGGCAGGCCCCCTTTACTGTCGCCATG